AATTATTTAAATTTTTTAAAAGACAAAATTAAATTTATTACTAAATTAAATAAAAGAGGTATTTCATGTCCATATATATTAAGCCATGATTAATATATCAACCCTTCTCAGTACGTATCCAATACAAAATGCAATGCATTAAGATATCCAATACATATCATACATATTTTTTTATGGATGATATTATTGTCATATTTTTAATTATTGATGTCATATATTTTTATATTAATTTATTATTATATTTTTTAATTTATTAAGAAATAAAAAATATAAATTTTTAAAAAAATATATAATGTAATAATATAATAAATAATTATTTTTAAAAAATGTGCATTAATAATTAAAGAGGTGCTACTAAGCCCGCCCTCCATTCACGGTACTCGAGCTCATATGCAATGTATAGTTTGGATTTTGCAAAAGACACGTTACCTTGTTTCAAAATTAAAGAGAAATCTTTGGATTCGTAATCCATTCGTGAAAAGCATAAGAAATTATAAAATGAGATTTTAATTAAAAATAAAGTTATATGTCTTATTATGATTGATTGGACAAAAAATATTAAAAATAGAGTTACCTTAATTTGTCACATTATCTTTTTTATATCATAAAAAATTATTTTTTGATCATGTAAATTAATTATATGATGTCATTTTTACAACATAAAAAAATATTATTTTTAGATTGAGTTAACGTACACATGTGATTTAATTGATGCAAGGGAAAAAAATTATGCATTTTTTTAAAATTGAGGATTAAGAAAAATATAAAATAATTTAAGAATTAAAATTATTTAAAATTAAAAGTCTAAGAATGGAAACGGCTTGATTACGTCAGTCGCTAGAAAAGGGGCTGTTTGCATAGGTTAGAGGGGGTATGTTGCAAACAAAAAAAGTAGAGTGATTGATATGCCCCAACTTTACTAGTAGAGGGGCTAATATTCCCTGCCACAAAAAAGGGGTTTCTTGGAAAATGTTAACCTTAGAAAAAGCAGGTTGGTGGATACCCCCCCATCCCCCTGGGTAAAAGAAAGTTTGGTTTATTTATGTAATGCCTAGAAAACCTCTTAAAGTCAACGAAAATCTTTAACCGGATACGCCACTTGAGTAAAAGAAAGTTTTGTCGGCAAAAGTAATTGGAAGCTTACATTTTTATTTATGTAATGCCTAGAACACCTCTAAAAGTCAACGAAAATCTTTAACCGGATACGCCACTTGGGTAAAAGAAAGTTTTATCGGCAAAAGTAATTGGAAGCTTACATTTTTATTTATGTGATGCCTAGAAAACGTCTTAAATCAACGAAAATCTTTCACCGGATACGCTTTGGAAAAAGATGATCGTTCTTTCCTCCATACCTTCCACGAGAACAAGTCAGTCAACATTATTTATGAGTTTTTTTTTTTAAACGATTTATGAGTTTTTGAGTTTATGTTGGGTTTTCGCCCTGGCACAGAAATAAAAATATATTTATTATA